GGCTCCTGACAGTATGCAGAGGACCCGGCTCCTGACAGTATGCAGAGGACCCGGCTCCTGACAGTATGCAGAGGACCCGGCTCCTGACAGTATGTACACTTCCTACAGTTTTCTATAGGCCCTTTACCCAGTAAAGGCTCTATCAGCCCTCTGTTTTAGCCTCATATTTATGCATTTCTCTGCACAAGTCACAACACCACTGCAGTGGGAGGTAATGGTTAAGCTATTACATCCAGAATTATGCGGAGTGGAAACCCTTAAGAGAAACTAAAACTGTATATTAAATAGCCAGACTGGGCCAGCCTTCTGTATGAGGTGTGCCTATATAGCTGGGTAAAAGCTAAAAATGTTAAGGAGACATTGAAACGGCGTGCAAAATAAAATACATTAATTTTTTTTATAGCCTTGCTTAACATAGTCCTTGAATAAAGTCTGTTAAGTCTGCCATCTGGTGGAAGGTATGGGAAGCGTACTCTTCTTTTGTACTGTGCAGAGGGGATATTTTAAGAAAATAAGGATTGTAACAAAAAGAAATCTACACCTGTGCTTAGATGTGTATATAACATCATGCACGAAACCATAAGCAAGCAGTCCTTGGCTTTTATGTTTCCATAAAGACCAAAAGCATTTATCAGGAAAGGACAGCTTTTGGGTATGTTATTTTAAGCACGAAATGTGAGTTTGTATCAAAACGTTTAAGGTGTTGTGATTAAGAAAAAGACCTCATTTAATTTATTACCAAGCGAAACTTATAGAATCATAACATTAAAAATGGATAGTTCTCCGAAAGACCACAGGGAAAGCAAATCTCAAAAAATAATAATATACCAACCTTCAGACGGCTTGCCAAACCCACTTGACACCAAAAATATTCTTAAGTGTAACGCCGGAAGTGTGTGACTGCGGCTTGTGACGGAGACTCCCAGCCTCAGTGTTTAGGTGTGAGTCTTAACACATTTCCTACTGCCTTCTGTTACCTCCACCCTCGCCCCCAGAGGTGCAGAAGCCTTTTCGCTCCATTCCTCCTTGCCCACAGATCATTAGACACACAGTCTGGTCTGCCGGTTATGAACAGCTATTCAACATGTTTTTGTTTGTGTTCGCAGGACAACATGTATGCTTTTAGTACTCGCAATTTCATATGCTGACCATCACGCGACTCATCCAGTGGGTCGGTTTTTGTCCTGCATGTGACCTCAGAAACTCAGCTTCTGAGACACTGGATCGATATTATCTAGAGAGGTTTCATCGGCGCGCCCTTGCTGTAACTATGACAGGAGTTCAGTCATCAGAATAGTGCGTCTAGGTTCACCCTGCCTGAAGACACCAATGTAAGAGTCACACCCAGTGCCGATATCATTCTCTATCTTGGCACCCATGCTGCCTGCATTTTTGAGCATTCGTTGCAAAATTAACTCAAAACATAGCAGCTAGATTATTGTTTTTTTGCTTCTCATTTAATGAGTGTCAGGTTGCAAAGAAACTCCAGAAAGGGAAGTCACTTAAATATTCCAGTAAGAAATAGCTCAGGGGGTGGGGGTGGGGGTGGGGGCGGGGGCGCCTGTTTAAATGCACTAAGCACACACCAAAATGTCATTTTTACAGATTTCCCTGGCAAATGACTTCAGGTAATCATCTTGATTTTTGAAATGATGATTCACCTGCCCGATGCCATTTTCACACCATATTTAAGACAGCTTCAGCTTCTCATTAAAAGATTCAAATGCACGAAACATTAAAGCTGACTTGAAAAATACATAATTGAAGTAAATTGTTGAATAGGCATTGCAGATTATTTTTATTTTATACATCAACTAAGACACAACACAGCTCACAATGTCTCTTTTTACAACACAGTGCAAAATAAATACATCATGATTCAAACATTCATGAGACTGTCCAGTTGCACATCAGCGAATCAGAAGACTGCACACAAGAAGGCGTGGCTCATTTAATCGGGGAGTCGAGTATCTCTTGGTATTCCTCCCGCTTGCTCCTGCCCACCCAGTAGAGCTTGACTGCGGTGAGGACGAAGACGCTGATGATGACGATCAGGCCCCCGATGACGTCGTAGATGGACGGGATCATGCGCAGCACGAGAAGCTGGAGGACCATGGCCACCACGATCTCAAGGTGCTGCACAGTGCTCACCAGAGCTGGATGGAACTTGTTCAGGGCATAGTAGACGCCCAGGAACGCCACAGTGGAACAGACGCAGATGCCCAGTAGGTATCCCCAGGTCTCCGCATCCAACGGAATGATGGGTTCCTGAAGAACGAACATGGTGGAGGCTCCCCACACGGTGCCGGTCCAGCCGAAGGTGAAAAGGGCCGTCCACATGCTCACACGCTCCTTGATGGTCCGGTACACGATCATAGAGAGGGCGGCGGTCAGACCAGCCATGACGGTCATGGTGTATCCAAAGGCCTCTTTCCAGAAGCCCAGCGGGGTCTTGTCTTCGCCTAAGATGTTGGGGATCATGACCAGACACAGGCCGAACACGCTGGTGACCACGGTGACCACATCCGTCAGACCCAGGCGCTCGTCGATGAGCAGGAAGGCCAGCACGGCGCTGAAGACAGTGGTGGTGGCTCGCCACATGATGGTGCCATTGCTGGGCGGCACGATGGCGAAGGAGGTGTAGGCGCAGGTGATGGAGATGACGTTGCACACGCCGTAGAAGAAGAGGAGCAGCCTGTATCCCTTGGGCCCGAACGGCGCCTCCTGGTGGTAATGCACGACCACAATGGAGAGCACCTGGATCACCGAGCGGATGAAGAGCAGCTCCAGAGAGGGCACCTTGGAGCGGTCGGCCGCCAGGCGTGTGATGAGCGCTACGCAGCCGTGGGCCAGAGCCGCCCCGAACAGAGCGGCCCAGGTGACCCGCGAGGTGAAAACCGACGCCTCTCCAAAGCTCTGCAGCTGCTCACCGACGCCGTTGTCCCGCCGTTCTCCGGCTGGCTGGGGCCGAGAGTCCATGGTGCCGAAAAAGGTCCGGCCGTGCCTGTGGTCGGCGAGCAGCTTCCTGTCGGGATTCTCCTCCAGGAAAGTGCCAAAGTCCTCGAAGGAGGGCGCATCATCATAGCCCTCATCGCCCGGCTGTGGGAAGTGGGTGGAGTACTTCACGGTTACAGTGTTGGGGTGAATCTTCACACGCTTCTTTGAACCGTGATGCTGCCTGGAAGAGGACGAATCCATTTTTCTTCAACAGAGAGTAATTTTTACAGTAATATTAAAACACAAAGTGCCTGACATTGATCTCTGTCTTCACTAACACATGTCTATATACAAATGTTTCTCACCTTTAGAAAGTCAACACCATGACAAATCCTGACAGACATTTTGATCAAAATGCTTTTTTTTTAACTGATGTTATGTACCACCTACATAGTTTTGCCACAGACACATTAGTCCACATACAGACAGGTTGACTATCCTTACGCCATTGCAAGAACAGTGTAAGGTTTAGATGAACAGACTTCAGTTTACTTTCAATCCCAGAAACTGACACAGACCTAGGTGACGTTGAAGGCTAACACGTCACCTTCAAGTGACGTTTGTTAAAGCCTGACAGAGAGGTTGTGCGATAATCTGGAATGCAGATGAAGCGGTTGCATAATTCAGAAACAGTTTGCTTCGTTCATCTCTCCCCTCCACGCGAGACTGTCTGTCTCTCTGTGTGGTGCAGTTTCTATATTTAAACCTAATTTGCCCAGAGTGCAATGCAGGTATTCGCGTAGCACCGTCAATTGAGGCTGTTGCAAACTAAAAGAAAAGAAAAAAACATTAAACCGATTTAATCCACGTTTGAACGATCGACATGGCGTATATATATAGTGCACATTCGTTTGACGTGACTGGACGGATGTCAGGACCCCTAATCTGCGCTGCTGAACGCGTCATCCTTATGTGATCTGTGTTTCACTGACCCATTTCGTCTTTGGCGGACGGACGTCACGGCGCGATTAAATCCGCGGGCATGAAACACGTTGCAGATGCCCGTTTTGATGTGTTTTGAGGGTTTATGACGTCAAAGGCATTTAATTGGGTGATACTGTATTTCACGTGTAGGGCACATTCTGTGCATGTACCCAAATTAACACGGTTACGGTACACATCTAAATAAAGCCAAATGATGCATTCATTATAATGTCTGGTTTCCATCCTAGTGTGGGATTTAGCCAGCCCCGCAGAACAGAAGTGCTATTACACAGATAAAATAGGAATCATTTCTTAAAATCGTTTCAAATTCCTCTCACGGGATATTGCACATTTGGCATTCTGGTCCATTAACCACGGGATATATAATTTGTCCAGGTATAGCGTGTGATTGTCGACATACCTTTATCATAGTTACTTATTCAAAGGTTTAAATGTGGACGGAAGCTCGGTTACAACACGGAGCAGAATTAAATTCCTGTCAAGGTTATGCAGAAATAATACAAACGGACACTCAAAACGCCTATAGGAGAAATATAAGGGAATGATGTGCCTTTAACGCACTGTCTCTAAATGCATCCCACCAACAAACCCGTGCGTTTCCGAAACAGAAATGGCACTGCATGTTCTTTATCGAGACGCATGTCCAAAACAGAATTTAATTGTTTGAGTTAAGTATCCCAAAAAATCTTTCAGTTATCGCAGTTCTTCACATACGCTCCCGAATAAGGACATTAAAACTATTTCAAAGAAACGCACATTAATACAATTAAATTAAATAATTAGTAATCGCACTGGATATATATATATATATTTTTACACGGGGAAAATAACATCATATTTAAGCAGCAACCGTGTTTTTTGTAAATTCCCCTTACTTCTGGGTGAAAGCAAATAAATCCAGATTGCGATGACATACCAACTACAAGGATTTTTCTTGTGTTAAATTCAACTTCGTTTTCATTCCTGCTGTCGCACTCCTTCCGTCCATCAAATGAACACTTACTTTGCATTCAAAATGATTTATTCCGTTTCAAGGTGAAATAAACAAGCCAGATACTCACATGGTGATTCAAACGAGGTGATCCCACGGGAAATGACAAGTAGCGCGCACTTTTCCTGAATCATAAATTATCACAGATACTTTTCTCGTTCCTCGGTTCGTGAAACACGGCAAGCCGAGTGTGCACTTTCCCCCATCTTCACCCCGAATGAACGTGGTCCCAGATGACAGGCAGTGTGCTCTGACAAGCCAGAGACGCGTTCACGCCGCTCGCCTATAACTGCCCTTAGGTGTGATGATCTCGCACAGCTCTGCAGGTGCTGACAGAAAAGCATCGGAAAAAATGCGTCTCCGTGGTTTCGACTCCTTTATTTCTTATTATCTCAGTAATGCAAGTTTAAAGGTGGCACATCGACGCACAGCGGAACCGGCTCGTTTTGAGCATGCGTCAAAGATAAGCGGTTCCTATCATTTTACTCTGTATATACGTACCGACAATTTATACTCGTGCACTCTGCTTCGAACCCCAGTGAATGACATCATGCGCTATGTATAATGTAGATTTTTTTCTATAATTAAGCAGGTATTAATGTAACCTATAAATGTACAAAACATTTTCTTTATGGCCTGCCTGTGATGACCAAGGGAACTGAGACGGCAGGTCTTAATCAGATAATTACTGTCCAGTTCAGATATGATTACATTAGACATAAATAGCAATAACGGTATCTCTGCCATTACTGAATGTGCGTTCACAAAAAAAAATCAAATCTGGACTGGCTCTTTAAAGTATTGTGACAGAAAGGTTGCAGGTCCCTGCTGTGGGAGAAACCCCGCACGTGTGTTTTTGAAAATGCGCTATCACAAATCGTTCCATAAATCTATGCAGCTGCATGAAGTACTAGCGGTCTGCTAGCTTGAGCGGGCTGCCTTATAATTTTGAGTTTTCGGGCTCCGGGTGTTGAATGCAGCAGCAGGCGTGCGAATGCCCTCCTTTTGCCCTTGTTCGGACGCAGATCTCCAGGCCATAACTATAACAGCTAACAGCGGCTGCAGAGCTCGCCTCCCTCCTGCTCCCTTATGCGGCTGTGGACACAGACTAGAGCTCACTAAGGTCAGAAATTAAATTAGCCTGGACAGAAAAACACGCAGTAAAACTGACATTTTCCTTCTGTTCTTGGTTATCTAGTGCCAGTTTGTTTTTCCCTCCCTGTGCCCAAAGATGACCTCATTCAGCACTTTTCTGTTGGTATTGCTATTTTCCTCCCTGAATGTTTCCTTTCAGGATCTCCTGGTGTCCTACTTCTTTTAGTTTGCAACGCTCTCAATCAGGCTCTGAATCTTTGTGCTGGTGTGCAGGACCGCCAAGCTATTAGCACTGTCTCATTTTCAGGATTTCATCAACCTGTGATTGGACTGTGGGGGGGAAACCAGAGTACCCAGAGGAAACCCCACGATGACACAGGAAGAACAGGCAGACCCCACACACATAGAGTCACGGTAGAGACTCAAACCCAGGTCCCAGAGGCGTAAGGCAGCAGTGCTAACCACTGCACCATTGTGTCACCCCCATAAAATAACACTTTAACCTAAAAACACTAAAAGCTTCCAGTTCCATTCGTGCTCCTCTTTTGGGTTACTGTACCTGTTCACAGAGTTGTGTAACTCAGGTCCAGGGAGTAAATGTCCAGACCGGGATTTTGTTTCAACCAGCCAGTTGAGTTACTCTGTGACTGTAACTCTTTATGCTCAACTGGTTGGTTGAAACAAAATCTTGGTCTGGACTTTTACTCTCTAGATCCGAGTTACCCAACTCTGCCTGTTCATCCTGTGTTTGTTTATGGATTTCTGTTTTATTATATGCAATTACTATATTTGCATATTCTAAGCAGTTGATGTGGGTGAAGGGCTCACAGAAGCGACATTTCTCTACAGACCCGAGGGGCGTTGGTATTCAGGGGCACCATAAAGGGAGGAGCTCAAATGAAACCAAAGCCCGCTGAGTAACGTAGGGCCCAAAATCTCTAGCAGTCCCCCTGCTGGTGTTTAATGGTCATTAAAATTCTACAGAAGCAACATCCATAACCTGCTTTCTTCAAGATGTAGGAGAACAGTATCGAACCGTCGAACTTGCACAAGCGATTTATTCTTGTCTTTTAATTGAACAGATTAGAACCTCTTACAGCCTTTGCACTGCGAAGAGCCTAAAAGAACAGACCAGAGTATGCAGGGTTCTCTAAATACGGTAATTAATCCGAACATTACCTCGCATATTTGCTAACTCAGAAGTGATTAAATATTAAACATAATGTTTGCCTGCCCTGCCTTCCAGTGGAAGCAATTAAAGACAATATATCAAAGGAATTATATTAATATATTAATTTGCAGTAGTGAACACACTCTATGCAGCCCTATATATAGCAAACAAAATTCTTTACAGATAAAACTAACAGGATATGAATGAAAAGTAAAAACCTCCTGGCTAAAAGAATGTCATGTATCCCCTGCCACCAGGGAAAGAGTCGAATTTGCAGCTGAATAGCACAGCTTACATCTGTCATACTGCAAAGGCTACAGGTTAAAGAGAGTTCTTTGGTAGGTGTGGGGCAAGTGAAGGTCTGTGTCGATGCTGGAGACGGGCTGGCTAGGTGCGGGGGCCGTAGCTAATGTTTCATGCATGATTATCCGTAAAAGACAGGTGATAAGCAGCCCTGAACCGGAACCGTTCTGCGGCTGGTTTACTGCTGTGGTTCTGACCATAGACGTTACACACAAGCCTTTTTGGTGAAACTTACCACTGAATGAAGCAAAAAAAGTACTAATTACCATACATCTCAATATTAAACCAACTATCCTGAATCAAACGAGCAGTATGAGAGTAGCGACACAGATTTCCACGTGCAGTGAATGTTCAGCGTGCCAGATCCCTCGAATGCTCCATGAAGTCCTTTGCATCCGACGTGCAGCTACCTGCCAGATGCTCATTAGACCATAGTAACGCTCATTAGCTTCGTCTGTGTAAGTGAGCTAATAACGAGCAAGCTGTGTTTCTTTGGCCACAGTAATACCATTCATATTTCATGAGGTTGTTAGAGTTGTCTCTGTGGCTGCTTAGCCTGACCTTGTCATTAACCTGATCCAGTGAGCTTCAAGCTGACATCCAGTGCTGGGGCTGACAAACGCAAAGCAACACAGCACGACATGCAGCTAAATCACTGGCTCCTAGATTTGATTACTTACATTAGCTGGTAGACATGCTCACCTACATTAGCTGACAGACACGGTCTGTCCCTCACCCTCGTGTGTTACACTTGTTTACAATCTCTGCACTTTATGTATATATACTGCACTGAGGTCCTGTGGAATATTACTTCATGCCACCGTATTCTGTGGATTGTATAGAGATGGTATGACAATAAAGACCCACTTGACTGCCTTAATTGACAGACATGGTCAACTGTCGCCCTTATAATATCTCAGTCAAACATGTTTTTACCTTGCATCTAACATTCCCATTAACATATAGAGAAATATATTAATAAAATGTACCCAAAACATTCACTTCGACATAATATGATGCGAATATGCTTTGTGAACTGGCTTTTGCAGCAACAGATTCGTTTATAACATGTCTGCATCGATCCTTTTGGTCCAATTTCATCTCTGACAGCTTGGGGGTGACCCTTGACCTTTGAAAAACCCTTGAATTGAACAGCTCATCCCGCTAAGCGGAAGTCGCTCCGTGGCGGCGCTGCTTTTAGGGCGGACAGGAACAAACACGGTGATGGGCTTCAGCTGAGCAGCACCTGCTGCCTTTGTACTCAACGAGCGTCAACGAGCACAAAAACGATGTTCGGTTCCATGAGACAAAAAGCTACAGTGAGGATGACTGTGAAATGATGGAATCATAGCCCACATTGTGAAGCTACCTTTGCAGTAATCACCACTGGGGGTCTGGGGTCAGCCTGGTGTTAGCCCAGCTAACAGGCAACGTTCCCAGAACTTCAACCAACGTTATGTTAAGGTCTTCATCTAAACTTCTAAAGCTGGCAGGGAACATTCTCATAGTAAAATAAATTAAACGTTATTTCCATGTTTAACATTTAAACAAAGGTTCTGTCAATGCCAGCATGATAAAATGATTATCGGAACATCCTTTTAACATAACTGATGTTGAAAAATGTTGTTTTATAATAAAATATAATTTTATAAAAATGCTGTAAGTATCTACTATGAACATATGGTCAATCCTTAAACTCCTGATCCTCACAAAGCGACAGGGTTAACAGCTGCTCCATGATGCCCTCATTTCGCTGTATTGTTATTCTTAGTTGTAGTAGTGAGATAACGTTCTGGAAACATCAGGAAGACTGGACCCTTCGAACGTTTCCATGCCGTAATCATAATGTTCGGTGCACCTTCCTAGATTGAAAAATTGTTAGTAGGGAGGGGGGGCGCCTGCCTGTAACTCGGGGCCTTCATCTCTCTTCAGCTTCGCCGTGGGACGGAAGATCCACATCAGTCGGCAGGCATATACCCAATGCAGCAGCATCTTCAAAAAGCCCTAGGAGCAGTCATCATACAGCAGATGAGGACAGGCGAACATGGCTGGAACCTGTTTCTATGGCAACCAAGGGGGTGGAGCCTCAGTGAACTGAGATCCCTTAGCCCTGCTGGTATGTGTAGCTGAGTGTCTTAAAACATCTGTCTAATGTTCTTTATTTCCCTCACATTGTTTACACGGGGTTTGACACAAGAAAGAATTTGTATTTCCAAGTCCCTGATGTTCCTACTAAAGGTTATTTACAGCCACCATTAAAATGTAGTCTTTATTCTGATCACCTGTATTCAACCAGATGTTTTTACAGATGTCTACAGTCAATAAAGATAAATTTAAAAATGTAATTAAATTTGATGTTTATTTGCAGAAATATGCCAGTGTCCTACATCCCATACAAATCCGGATCAGATTTAGCGGGATCTCGCAGCACTTCTGGCTATTGTACTTTGATAAACAGTGTGTAATAATTTATGCCTTTCGAAAGACTGGTATGTAGCTATGAAAATAACAAAAAGTGGTAATGCATTTTAAATTGCTATACCATTATATATTATTCATACAATTTTGGTTCAATATATATACACAATAATACTGAAAAAAATTTGACTGAAAAATGTTTTGAGCAGTGCCAAATAATGCACATGAGGGCATTACTAAGCATTCTTAGTCATAAAACAAGACAAAACAGAATTATTCCGGGTGTTTCTATAATAACGCCTCACAACCATATGTTCTTAGACTTTGATTTCAGCAGTCGGTGATTTCTGGCACCGTTCCGCCTCACCGTACCCCAGGTCTCCCATTTACTTTCCCTTCTCTGCCCAGAGCTGTCTGACACTCCTTCATGATGACGCTTCTGACAGAGATAACTGAGTTTTCTCCTCCAGCGGATTCGAACCTGCCCTCGGTGGCACAGCCCTTGATTACACTCAAACGCAGTGTCACCAGGTTGTGTCACCACCGGGCACTTCCCAAGTGAACGGGAATCAACCCCGGTGGGCATACCTGTTGCTGTGGCAACGGCCATGTGGGAGAAACTCCCAAAACATATGGTGAAACAGTATAGCAGCACTGATTTATGGAACAGTCATTCACCATCCATCATTGTGACAATTAAGACCTCATAATGTGACAGGATGCAATAAACAATAAGACCACTGGTGTGAGCTTGACTCCCCTGAACAAAGGTACAAGTGCACCATAAATATTTAGTTCATAAGGCTAAAGCAGCATGAAATCTAATGAAAACATTTTGTCATTTAATGCTATGATTTAGTGGAATCCGGGCAGAGAGTAAAACCTTCTCCTTATGTAATGTCGCAGCCCATCACCAGAGAAGACTCAGTACCATAACTACGGGGTATGTGAGCGCCTTCTCATCGTGAACTTTCAGTGTGAATTTGAACCAGTCGGTATTGGATTGAAGTTCCTCGAGCTGTTATCAGCATTTTTCAGCCGGAGCATTAAGGAGACGACAGTCCAGCGACGAATAGCTCAGCCAT